TTCTGCTAAACCAGAAAGAATTTATTATCATGAGGCTTGAGGTAATGAGGAAGCAGCTTAGACTTGCCTTTGCTCTTCCTATTCCATCTCTAGAGAGCCCAGGCAAGGTCACCTTGGTGGGTTCCAGTCTCCGAGGGTCTGGTTCCTAGAACTTTTCCATTAATTCTTTAAATTACTCCAATATTCTGACTACATGACCTATAAATTCCCATTTTAGTTTATGATAAATTGAGTTTCTTTTATTGTAGTCAAAAGGATTCCTTTCAAATTATGTTTTAAACATGGCAACTGTGCAATCAAACCCTCTTCCCAGAACAAGCTTTTCCTACTGAGACTGACCCACCACAGGTTTTCCTGTCTCCCAAGCGCCCTCTATTTGCTCCCTGCCCGCAAAAATCTCTGCCAGTTCACACCTACTCTAAGGATTGGTTTGCAAAGAGCACTAAATTCTCACTGACTGGCAACCAACTATCAGCACATTTCCAAACTAGATAGTTTTTAGAGACCTGAATGTGTCTTTTTAAAGAACAAAAACATCCAAACACACAAAGTGTTTCCCCTATGCACTTTCCCATGTGCTGTTTCCTCTTCCAGGAAATTCGTGTGTACCTCTTGTCTTTGATGAATTCCTATTTCCTTCCACACTAAGCTAAAATGTCACCTCTTTCTGAAAGATTTCCTTGTCCTTCCCAGGCAGATGTAAGTGTCTCCTTCTCTATAATTCCATGGCCATTAGTATAAACGTACCCCTTTATAGCACTTCTACCAGTGTCTTAATTATCTACTGACTCACTTACTACCCACATTAGACCTTGTGCACTTTGAGGGGCTGTATTCTATTTTATCATATTTCTAGTACCTGGCATATAGTAGACCCTAATAAAGAAAGTAAATAATAAATTTTAAAAAGTTAATTTAAAAAAAAGACTAATACAAAAAGGAATACCTCAAGTAGTTTCCCCTAAAGGAAACAACAGTCACATACATAAGTGATGCTAGCTAGTATATAATTAAGAGCCAACGATAAATGCCATAGGCATTTACA